TGTATATAAATGTATAAATATATAAAAAAAATATAGTGAGAAATATATATATATATTATATATATATATATATATATATATATATATATATATTTCACACTATATTTTCTTTATCCATTCATACATTGATGGACACTTACGTTGGTTCCTGTCTTAGTCAGGGTTTCTGTTCCTGTGAAGAGACACCATGACCATGGCTACTCTTAGAAAGTAAAACATTTAATTAGGGTGGCTCACATAGTTTCAGAGGTTTAGGCTTTGTGCCTGCTATCTCGAAGATTATCTGTTGGTTATGGTTCGTTCATGACTTCATGCTGTGACTTTTTTTCATAGAGTGACAGGGGCCTTAAATGAAAAGGCTGTTTTCTTCCATTTAGTTCAGAAAACAGTACCGAGGGGAGGAGAATTCATGCCCCTCAGGTGCTTGATTGAGAAAGATAGATCTTAACTACGCCCTGATAAGTTATTTATATGTGTAAGATAAGTAATTGGATGGCTTCTTCTATTGACTGCAACCATTTCTGAAGCAATGCCAAGTGCTTGAAATTGTGTTTATGGTATGATGTTGAAGAGATGAGCCAGCCTTCTGTAACAAGATTGAAGATGCCATGAAAATGCCTAACCTATGAACATGTATCAGGTGACTCATCTTCTGTTAAACACGTGACTGTGGACATATAACATGAAATGACAAGAAAGTACAGCCACCTGAGGGCTGAGAAGATGCCTAAGCTGAGGCAAGATTCTCACAGATATCTTTGACTTTAAATGTTTGATCAGTTTGATTAGTTTTGCACATTTCTTAAAGGGGAGGTTCTTAGTTTACTATAGTAAATTTCAATGTTTTTTTTCCACTGATAGGGAAAATGATTAATGTCAAATTATATTTTCTAGTTGCCACATGCAATTGTTACTAATATATGGCAAAATCAAGTGTACTTCATGAGCCAGGAACTAGAGTAAAACAAGAATCAAGAATATGGAGAAGTCATCCTACAATAGTAGAAAATATTTCTTATGTAAGGTTCTCCGTAGGGCTGGAGAGATATGTCTCAGCAGCCAAGAAGACTTGCTGCTCTTACAGAGGACCTGAGTTTAGTTCCCAGCACGCAAGCTGAGCAGCTCAGCTGCCTTTAACTCTAGTTCCAGGGTACATAATGTCCTCTCCTGGCTTCTGTGCATTCAAGAGAGAGAGGGAGAAATCTCTAGGTCAAAATCAGGCATTGAGTTCTGAATAAAAGAACTAAATATGATTCTTGAAAATGCTATACTTTTAGTGCCTTTGCTAACTGAAGCCTTTCAAAGCATAGTCTTTGGGCAAATGTAGTGGAGCTAACAGGATTGCACTTAACCTCTTGTACCATTAATAGCAGCAAGTTGCTAAGTAAAACAACCAATCAGAATTTCACAGCTATCTATGTTCATGTCATCTTCCTGCTACACAGCAGCAATGTCTGACTTTGAACTCTAACTATCTCATGGGACTCTGTCTTCATAAACTCTATGTGTCAAGCTAGCTTTGCCAGTGAGTCTTTGCTTGGTGCTGCTCTAGGCTGGAAAAGCTGGGAAACTAACTGGCTGGGTCATAACCCATCTCGGCATTAAGTTTCTTTTTCCTCTTCTGATGATTTTAAGTCAGTTTCACTTTCCAGTTTCCTCTTCCCTTTCACAAACACAAGTCCTTAGAAACAGGAGAGCATCAGCTGGTGCACTCCTCCCTCCACCGCTCCCCTGTCCCCCTTATATAGTCCTCTGATCATCCACCTGATGCTGACTGAGATTCCTGAAGGGTGCACTCCACATCCAGCTTTTCCGAGCAGCACAGAAGCAGGTAGCAGTCATGAGGTCAGTGCAATCTCAGGATCTCCTCTGTAGATGATGCATGGAGCTGCTTTCTGCCTGGAAGTCTCTTAAGTTGTCTGGCAGCTTACAGATTCCACACAACTAAATTTGCATGGCTTTTGTTGAGTTTTCCTTTGATTTTTGTTTCTCTGTAGGCTTGGGCAAGATCCTGCAGCTTCTAAAGCTGCTCGCTGGATGGCGCTAATTCCTGAGTTAAGAGAGGTTTTACAGGCATGGCTTGATCCACTCAGGCTCAAAATTTGACTCAAAGCTAGTACTAATGGAATTGCTCTAACGGGACTTTGCTCTTGCATTATTTAAAGGGAACAAGTCACTGGGATCTCTCTGTGTGTGGAGGCGTGGGGGGGGGGGGGGGAAAGGAAGCTTTCTTTTTCTTGTTTTGTTTTGTTTTGTTTTGTTTTGTTTTGTTTTGTTTTCTTCAATTCTTACATGAAACCAAGTCTCAATGTTTAAAGTTTCATTTTACTACTGTGAAATGCTGCTAGGAAGCCTAATTTCTAGTTATGGAAAATAGAACAGTGAGTGTCTAAAGGCAATAGGGATAGAATATGGAATGTCAGAAGTAGCCTATAAGGACTCTAGGTGGGTCCATAGGCATAAACATTTGTTGAGACTCAGAAAACTATACCCTTAAAATAAGTGATTCTACGGTAAGTAAAGAAAAATCATAGTAAATGTTTTTTTCTTAAATGTAACTACACCTGCTGAGAGTCTGTCATTGGGAGAGCCTCAGAGAGAATTAAGAAGAAATGGTACCTTTCCCACCAATTTCCTATCAGGGAATGATTGTGGTATCAATGGCCCAGGGAAGACAGATGCTATTAATTACTCTGAGAGAGAACAAAACAAGACAGTCATCCCTGCCCTCAGACCCAAGGGTTACAAATATTTAGCAAGGTCAGAGTTGGGATTTGAATTCCAACTACTCTGGGTTCCTCCTTCCTATATAATGGCCCTGGGAGAAGACTGGTCTTAGTGGTGAATATGGTTGACCAGAAAGCCAAGACCTGCCTAGAACCTCGGTGGCTAGCCTGAACAAGAGGCTTTGCTGTGTTTCGTGTTTGGGTATGTCCAGAGTCACCAATCTAAGAAGGTCTGAGGAGAACCCTTTAGACTATGCTGGTCGGGAGTCTACATCATGGCATTCTGTGAGGACTGAGGCAGCTTGAGCTGCTCTTTCCTGTCAGGATAAACATCACAAAATGGGACAAATAAAGGACCTGGAAAGGTACATAGTACCTTCTGTGTAGACTGTGTAGGAGGCAAAGTCTCATGAAAAGCTCTTGTTCTATGCACAGATGTCCTCGTTAGGGTCTTTCAGTATGCAGAGATTAAATGTTCATTTGCTCAATTTTCTCATGACCTGTCTCACCAATTTGGATATTATGCCTGTGTCTCTGTATTAGTTACTTTGCTTGGTGTACTGGGACAAAAGACCTGATGAAAATGGCTTTAGGAAACAAAGGGTTACTTTGACTCACAGTTTGAGGGTGCAGTCTTGGCTAGAAGTCATGGCAGCAACAGCATAAGCTGGTGGCACTGTGTTCAGTCAGGAAGCAGAGATACTAGACTGCTGGCCCCCAGCTTGTTCTCTCTTTTTGTATTTAGTCTTGGACCCTGGCCAGTAGGGTCGTGCCTCCCACACTAGGATCAGTTTTCATTGCCCAATTAAATCTTTCCAGAAACATCTTTCTAGACATACCCAAAGGTGTGTTTCTATTGTAATTACGAATCTCAACCTATTGACAGTGAAAACTCACAGCATCTTTCATCTTGGCAGTTAATACGAGGAACTAGAAAAGCAGTTGAGAACCAAAGGCAGGGAAGGCCTTGAAGATACATGAGTGTCTTTAAGCCTCTTTAAGAACAATCTGGCCCATGAAATCTGAGAACTAAGAGTCAGCCCCTGAGGTTCCAGTTCCACCATAATTTCTTATATTTAAAAAAGACTAAACCAGAATTTGTGGATTTCTGTTTTGTGGTTATCTTATCAGCATCCTGACTTTTCATCAAGTGTGTTCCTTTTTAATTCTGTAATCTAAAACTCCAGTATGTGATTAGGACACTTAGAACTTGAATTTATTTTTTTTATTTTACTTTATCTTATGTTTTGTTGTTGTTGAGACAGAGTCTAATTTTTTCACCCTGGCTGGCCTCAAACTGACAGAGATCAGCCTGCTTTTTCCTTCCGAGTACTGGGATTGAAAGTGTACATTGCCACACTCGGCTTTGGATTTTGTTTTATCATAATTGGGGAGCAAGCTCTCAGGACCATTCTCTTAGTGACCCGCTAGGTTTCCTCTACCCTGTTAAGTAGAAACAGAGATAAAGTATTACTGTCACTGAAATTGCACTATGCTTGTGCTCTATCATAATTGACTTTGGTGTGATTAAAATGCAAATTTCAGGAATTTCTAAATGATTGAAAGAGTAGATCTGAGATAAGGCTAAGAGGAGAGGGCCAAGGGATGGGGCTATTTTAAAACGGCCACAAGTTTGTGCATATGTACACTGAAATGTGAAGATGCAGTATTCACCACTAAGTCTCCCATTCCTTCACTGTAAAAAATGCCGCTTGAGTCAGGTGTGTGAAACTGTGCACAGGGACAACAGAAAGAGGTGGCTTGTGGGAGGAGCAGAAAGGGTATGGACAGAAACAAATCTTGAATATTTAATGGGGAAAGGAGAAACTGGTAATTGGGAAGAATAGCAAGAAAGCAAATCCAGCCTGGAGCCCATGGCTCACACTGTACTCTGAGTCCAACATCCACAAGAAGATAGTTCATTTTTCAGTCTCCTGGGGCTCAGTCAAGCTATCATGTAAAATGAACCATCAAAGGATGCACAAGATGATCAAAGTGACCATGTGTGTTTTCTCCACAGTGAGGTCACCAGGAACTCTCTGGAAAAAATTCTTCCACAGCTGAAATGCCATTTCACCTGGAACTTGTTCTGGGAAGGAAGTCTCTCAAGTCATGTGGAAGACAGAGTGCGAAACCAGATTGACATTTTAAACTCTGAGCACAAAGCGACAATGTTCAACTTGTTGGCCTATATAAAATACCTGGATGGTGAAAAGGAGGCAGCCTTGGAGTGCTTAAGGCAAGCTGAAGTCTCAGTGGAGCCAAAGCAGGATGATCAAGCAGAAATTAGACATCTGGTCACCTGGGGAAACTATGCTTGGATCTACTACCACATGGGCCGGCTCTCAGAAGCTCAGGCTTATGTTGACAAGGTGAGACACGTGTGCGAGAAGTATGCAAATCCTTACAGCGTGGAATGTCCAGAACTTGACTGTGAGGAGGGATGGACACGCCTAAAGTGTGGAAGGAATGAAAGAGCTAAAATGTGCTTCCTAAAGGCTCTAGAAGAGAAGCCCAGTGATCCAGAGTGTTCGTCTGGGCTGGCAATCGCCACAAGCCGTCTCGAAGAACAGCCCGAGAAGCAGTTCGCTGTGGATGCTCTGAAGCAGGCCATGGAGCTGAACGCTGAGAACCAGTATGTCAAAGTTCTCTTGGCCCTGAAACTGCAGAAAATGGGAGAAGAAGCTGAAGGAGAGCGACTGATTGACGACGCCCTGAGAAAAGCTCCTGATCAAGCGGATGTACTGCAAAAGGCATCCCAGTTTTACCAGAAAAAGGGTAACCTAGATAGAGCTAACACACTTCTTGTAAGAGCACTAAGATCCACAGAAAACAAGACTCCCCTCTACACCCTGGTCATGTGCCGTTACAGGGAAAGGCTGAAGCAATTACAGAAAACCGGAAATGCTGGCTCCAGTGACAGCCTAGAGAAGATGGAAGAACTGAGACAATTAACCATGGAGTACATGCGCCAGGCTCTTCAGAGGAAGCAAAGTCGTCTGAACTCCTACTCAGACCTCATCGATTACCCAGAAGTAAAACGATGCTGTCAGTTGGTCTTCGGCAAGGAGAGCCCCAGTGCTGAAGAACAACAGCTCTACCAGAGCTATTGCAACCTCCAGGAATATCACCAGCGGTCTGAAGGCCTTGCTGCCCTGAAGGAGTTACTCAAGTCCTGCAGTCTCACAGAAACAGCATCCATTGAGAAGGAAGGGATGAAGGAGCAAGCATAGGCCAAAGATGAAAACATTCAGTGGCAAAATGTGCTGGATTCTTGGTCTCTCTGGGGAATAAGTCAGAAGCTGAGTGAGTGGGGGGGGCGGGACACTCTTTGGGGCACAGGCAGCCTTTCCTTGACGGCATCTGAGCCTGAGGATAACAGGAAGTGTGCCATGGTGCAGGCGCTCAAGTCTGCACTGCAACAGAAGTGTGCTGTGGAATGGTGCCTACTGGGTGTGGAGAGGCAGGAGCCCTCCTGTCAAGTGTTGCTCCACAGGATTCCCTTGCTTAATTATGTTATCAAACACCCTTAAAGAACCGTTTTCTCTTCCTGACTCCCCTGTCCATCCTAGCTGTATAATTTTCCAGCCAACAGGTCTTCCCATGAGTCACCCAGGGAAACAGGACTCCAGGCTCACATAGCACTTTTTGATCACTATTTTTGTTCTGTAATGCATGACAACTGCCAGCAAAAATTAGTTTTATTTCTTCATTCCCTTTCAGTGTAACCATCCTAACCTGAAAGGTTAGCTTTGGCCTAACCCTAGAATATTTTTTGCTCCTTATTTTTTTTTTTATTCCACCTTGAGTTTGTTTGTGTTCCTGACAATGATCCTATGGTAACTATGTATGACAAACTGGAATGCTATAATAAATCTAAGTTTCAACTCAGAATATGGACAATTGTGTGTGTGTGTGTGTGTGTGTGTGTGTGTGTGTGTGTGTTTTGTGTGGTGGTGGTGGTAGGGGACAGGGAATGAAGACAGTAATGTTAAGTACCAAAGTTTCTTTGGTGAATACTGGGGGTGGCTTATGAGAGCTGCACCCCTTTCTGAGGAGTGGGTGGCAGTTATTTAAGAAAGAGAGAGGACAAGAAGTCAGAAGGGAAAACATGTTGAGGAGTATCAGGAGTATAGAGAGGGAGGTGCTGGGGATAGGTATGACCAAAACATATTATCTACATGTGTGAAAATTTAAAGACTTTTTAACAGTTTTTCTTCCGCTAGGATGATGTAAAATTGTGAACACATAACATGCTGCCCAAAGCACATCTTTTTGAAGATCTGTCTGGACACTGGGCCAAATCCATCTATAATCAGCATAGTTAGGAGCTGCCACTCTCCTTCCAGTCAAGATTCAGCAGAGGTCTGTGCATGTGAGCAGATGATTCTTTGGCCACATTTTAGCGGACCCAGAGATACCCTAGTGAATGTCCCCCCATTGGTGTGTGTGGGCACTGATACTAGACTCACAGGATTAGTTCTGTTGAGGTAGCACTGGGTCATTCAAACTTGTCAGTATCTGGTACTGAGAGTTTCATTTCACTCAGCCATCAGAAGCATCTCCCAACTCCCCTTACTCTTCCTTTGCAGACTGTCATGATACTACTGTTTTCAGACATGGTTTCCCTGAGTAGCCCAGGTTGGCCTGGAATTTGCTGTCTAGCCAAAGCTTGTCTTGTATTCACCATTTTCTGGCTTCAGCCTTGCTTGTTCTGGGATTTCAGGTATGCGGACCCATGCTCAGCTCTGGAGTCTCTTTTTAATTCGTTTATGTGATGGGGAATGTCCTTCTGTATATATGTTTCTCTTATTGGATGATGAATAAAACACTGTTTGGCCAATAAGACAGGAAGATAAGTGGGACTAGGAGATGAGAATTCTGGGAAAGGTAGGTGGAGAGAGCTGCCAAAAGCAGATGACATGTTGCCGCCAAAGGAGATACAGGTATCTGGTAAGCCAAGACCATGTGGAAATACATAGATTTATAGAAATGAGTTAGCAATTAAGACAGAGCTAGCCAATAAGAACCCCTAGCCATCGGCCTATGGTTTCATAATTAATATAGTGTCTCTGTGTGCTTATTTGGGGCAAGGGGCCTGCAGAACCAGGCAGGAAATCCAGCAACAGTTATGAGTATAATTTATAGCCCCATGTTACACACGAAAAAGAAATAACATATAAATGAGATTGTTATTTGAATAAATTTCTTTCCCCCAGATGAGGAACTAAATTCCAGAAAAAAAAACTGTAATTCTGAAATAAGTTACTAGTTAGTTTAGTAATTGGAAACATTTTAGGATCTATGTAAGTGGTGAGGATGTCAAGATCATATACGAATCTGTTTCTCTGAATCCAGAACTGTGCAAAAATCCCATACAAAGCAGCCTTCTGGTAGATAAAAAATACACATATCAAAAAACTTGTTCCCTATAGACATTTTGAGACTTCCAAAATTCTATATCTAAAGAGTAATCATCCAGGTATGTATGGAAACACACTTCCCCAGGGAAATGGACAGTTCCAGGCCAACCTAGACTGCATGGTATGTTTTAGCTCAGCCTGAACAATACAATAAGAACCTATCTTAAAAAAAATTAATTACAGAGGGATGACAATGAAACACATAAAGATGACAATAATACTGAAAA